GGTTTCTCCCCTATTCCACACCTTAAAACACCTACAGCTCCTCTTACCCATCTCTCTTTCACATTAAGTCCATAGATACTGCTTTTGCTGTAGTTAATTCTCAATCCTGACATTATCTCAAACCATCTTAGAATAGCTTTGACCATAAGAACATTCTCACTAGTAGCTCTTCCCAAAATTACCGTATCGTCTGCGAATTGCAGCAATGACACCTTCAACCCCCTTTTCCCAATCTCAATTCCCTGTAGCAATCCTTCAGTCTATGCTTTCTTTACCAGTCCATTTAGCCCCTCCATAATCATCAGAAATAGAAATGGAGACAAAGGATCCCCTTGCCTCAGCCCTTTCTCCAAATCAAACTCCTCCGTTGGGCTTCCATTTACCAGCACTGAACATCGTGCGGTTGATAGGCACTCTTTAATCCACCCCCTCCACTTGGTTCCAAAACCAAATCTATCCATCATCCAATCTAGATAAGACCAGTTAACACAATCATAAGCTTTTTGGAAATCAGCCTTGAAAACAAAAGCTGATGTCTTCCTATTCCGAACCTCATCCACAACTTCGTTTAAAACCAGGACGCTGTCAACTAATTGTCTTCCCCCAACAAAAGCAGATTGTGTTTCACTGATGATTTCTGATATTACATTTTTAAGCCTATTAGCTAGCACCTTTGACAATAATTTGTACACGCAACCTACCAAACTAATAGGCCTAAAGTCTTTCAAGTCCCTAGGATTCTGTTTTTTCGGGACTAATGTAAGGAAAGAAGAATTCAGCCCCTTCACTAACTTGGCACTTTGATGGAATTCACAAAAAATTCAACAATATCATCCTTAATACTATTCCAGAAAAACTTAAGGAAGTTAAAATTATACCCGTCAGGGCCCGGGGCTTTACTTCCATCACAGCTCTTCAATCCTTCTTCGATCTCCTCAACAGTAAATGGTCTCTCAAGCCATTCCGTCTGCTCTTCAGAGATTTTCTTGAATTCAATATTTGAAGGCTTAGGCCGATCCCAAGATTCCTCTTGAAACATCTTGCGGAAGTTTAACATCACCTCTTTCTTAACCAAAACTGGTTCCTCTACCCAGTGACCGTCACTCATTATTCCCTGGATATTATTAAGCGCCTTTCTCCCATTTGCAACCTTATGGAAATACCTGGTATTCTGGTCCCCCAATTTAACCCAATCATTTCTTGATTTGTGCTTCCACATAGCCTCTCTCATCCTCAACATGTCCCATATTTGCTGAAAGCCTTCTTTCCTTTGATTCACCTCGCTTCCCTCCAGCTCCACAACTTCATTTTTCAAGTCAATCCTTTCAACTTTTTCTGCAACTTCATTGAACTGTGATTCCATATTCCCAAACACCTCCTTATTCCAACCTTTTAAAAATTCTTTTAATCCCTTTAGCTTCTGCAAGCATCTGAATCCAGCATACCCTTCCACCTTTAGTTCCTTCCATTTGTCCTCCACCGCCTTCCTAAATTGTGGGTGCTGTTGCCAAGCATCAAACATCCGAAAAGGCTTCGGTCCCCAATCCGCTGCTGATGTTTTGACCAAAATCAGACAATAATCTGACACAGTCCTCTTCAATCCTTGCTGCACACATTCCCTTCCCAAATTGTACATCTCATCCGACATCAAGACCCTGTCTAACCGACTCATAGATGATCCATCCGGCCTGTACCACGTGAAACGTCTATTGGCCAACTTTAAATCCACCAAACCAACTGACACGATAAAATCATCGAAATCCCTCATTTCCGTTGTCTCCCCCGTTTTACCCTTCTTTTCATTTGTATTTCTAACCGCATTAAAATCTCCAACGATCAGCCATCGGCCTTCCTCCTCCAATATCATATGCCGAAGCTCTTCCCACATCTTGAGCTTCTTTTGTCTATCATTTGCTGCATAAATATTCACCAAATTACACCTTATCTTCTGAGATCCCCATTCCCCCGAAATACCCACATACCCGTCACCTGTAAACTCCCTTTGTTTCACAAATTTCAACCTATTCCAAACACACAACAGACCTCCAGAAGCTCCTACAGATTCCTTCATCACCCATTCAAATTCATCCGAAAACCACATCGATCTACAAAGATTCCCCTGCACCACCTCTAATTTTGTCTCCTGCAAAAATAATACATCCGGACGTTCGACTTTTACCAATTTTCCCACCTCCTTCCTCTTCAACACACTCCCTAATCCCTTCACATTAAAAGATATTAATTTCATAAAAAAAACCATAATATATACTCACACCCATCCTAACCGAATCACCAATATCCTTTCTAACCCCTCCCCTGTCCTTCGTCCCTCACCTCCAACTCCATTAATTTTGACTGAACTTCCTCCTCATTTTCACCCACTTCTATACCCAACCGTTTGCCTAAATTAAAAATTCTTCTTACCTCCTGACCGTTCATCTCCCTGCGTATCACCTTGTTTCTGTGAGCTATACAACCGTCCGACAAAGATGCACTCCCAGCCCGTTGATCCTGCACTGCCGCCCCGATCTGGACTTTCTGTTGTTCTTCCTGGATTCGGCGATGACTCTGCATACTTCCGTCTGAGCTCCCTTGAGCCTTCCTTTCGCTGCCTGCAATCTTCTCTTGAGGGTAGCATGCTTTTACTTCTTTCTTTTTTTTCTCTCTCGGATCCCTAATTCCCAAATCAACTTCATTATTCAGCTCCCCCTCAATTATCCCCTGCACTTCACCTATAATGCCGATTATGGTCTTCGGCCCATTCCCCGTTACACTTGTTTCCTGCACTTGAGAAATATTCCCCTTCAGCCCATTTTCATCCTCTGGCCCATCATTTGCACCCCTTATTAGGCCCTTTTTATAGTTGGGCCCATCCAGCTCCTTATTCTCCTCTCTGTCAAACCCCCTACTCTCTGTTGTTCCATCTTGTTTTGAATTCAAACTTCCCTCTGCCTCTAGCCGTTCCCCATCAATCTCCTCTACATCATCTATCTCATCACCTCGAATCTCGAAATAATTGAATTCGTGATCCTCATCCCCCTGTTCCGATGAAGAGATATCGGAATTCGTTTCTGCCTCTTCCCTCTGGTCATCCTCCGACAGCCACCAATCCGGGTCGGCCCTCCACTCTTCCTCCATTACTCTGATCTGATACACCTTCTCCTCCACTTTTAACTTCAATGACTTTACAATTTTGTTCATTTCAGAGCATAAAATCAACACTCTTCCATCACACAAAATCGACTTGGATTTTGTATCTTCATGCACCAGTACTACTTCCCCTAATGAGGCTGCTATCTTCTCAAAGCATCTATCACTCCAGGCTTTTAATGGAACTCCAGATATACGCACCCAAACCATTCTACCGTAATTTTGAGGTGCCACATCCCATGGCTGAATTTTCTCACACCAGAGCTCAAGCATCTCTTTGTGTTGTTGCACATACTCCTTCAAATAACCCGCCAGTCTCTCCATTAATAATACGCTCCTTCCTCCCAATGGAGATAAATTTATCAAGCCCCCATCCACATCCAGTCTCTCTTGAATAATAGAGATCATTGACATGGACTTAACCATTACTATCATGCTCCCCTGCAGCCATTGATTCTTCTCTTTCAATGGGAAAAATTCTATAATTTCCTCCCTATTGTACCCCTCTTTCACAGCTCCCTCCTTATCACCGGAGTTTTTCTCCTCAGGATTCACATCCTTCCTTTGATTAATTGATGCCCTATCCGTAGCTGCTGATTTCACCTTCTCTTCTGCTTGTGTATTCAGATCCAGAGCTCTATCTTTCCTTGAAGATCCCATAACAGCCTGGACGTATGTTACTCCTGGTTGAACAAGTCGCTGCTCCCTGATCCCCACTTTCAAGCTAGCATTTCTTCGGTGCCCATACCCTTTCTGTACCCTGACAGTCCCAGCCTTTTTCCCAGCAATCCTCTGATTTCCTAACTCTCTCTGCCTCATGACAGATGCCACTCTTGCCCTCAGCTTATAGGATCCGATCCATATCCTATTTAGTTTCTCTTCTAGTTGCTTAACATCTTGTACTCCTCGCATTCGGACAAATCCGAACCATTTCCCCCATCTATCTCTCTTACTTGGGACAAACACATCAACCACCTTTCCACTATTCTGAAACTGATACCACAGAGCCTTCGCATCCCAATCCTCTGGAAAGTTGTATATGAAGAATGATTCTACCTGTCCCTGTGTTCTATTCCTATAATCTCCACTCCTCCAGTTGTGTCCTTGCCGCCCTCTGAATCTGCCACCGTCCTGAGTCGCTGCACCCCACGCCATCGTCTCCTAAACCCTAAACAGAGATGATGCTTCTAAAAGGTGCATATAATATATTTGTGATTTTGTGTATATATAGATAAAGACTTGAGATATCAAATGTGCATGTATATGCTACTAGTCTCTTATCTAGATTCATGGGTTCTCCTGGTCAACTTCATTTTGTTGTTGCAAAAATGGTGTTGAGGTATGTGAATGGCACTTTAGATTATGAATTTTGGTTTGAGAAGATTGATTCTAGTTCTTTGGTGGGGTATTTTAATAGTGATTAGGCTGGTAGGTTAGATGATGGAAGAAGTACAACTCATTATTTATTCAAGTTTAGTTTTAGTGTTTTTTGCTAGAACTCATATAAGCAAGATGTAGTTTTCAATCTTTTGCTATTGAATATATTTCATGTTTATGTTCATTTCATGTTTATTTTCACTAAAGTTTTCATCTTTTCATCTTTAGTTTCTCTGAAGTTGAATGGTACAGTGTATAAATGGAAGGCTAGGAAAAGGAAGGAAAGTTAAAGTGTTTAACTAGGATTTGGATAATTCCAAAGTAATACAATAGAATTTGAGAGAAGTCAGCTATGTACTTTCTAATTGAGTTGTTAAAAAAAAATATAAGGTAAAACCTAATAATAATGTTGGATATGTGATGAGCTAATTTCACTTTACTTTTTTTTATCTCTCTATCTCTCTCTAAAGTAAGTTAAATGGTGAAATATCTAATATTTTAAAGAAGTAAATGGAAGAAATGCATCCCTCACAATTTCACACGTTTTTTTTTTTTTTTTTTTTTTGTGAAATTGGGTGATTAATGACAACCCTTTTTCATTTAATTATCCAGTTTACCCTTAATTATCCACCATCTTCTCCTTTATTCTCCTTTTCTTGATTTTTTATTTGGCCTGCACCAGTTACTCCTTTCTTTCCTAGTTAGGTTCTTGACTAAAAAGATTACACTCATTTTTCCTAAAAAAAAAAAAAAAAAAAAAAAAAATCTCCAAGAAATTGATTTCATCCAAACCCGGTAAAATTCGTCACGACACGATTAATCAACTAGAAAAGTCAATAATAAATTTCTTCAAGTATTGATCTTTTGGGTTCTTCATTTTGAAAGATGAGAATGGGGTTCTCAATAAGAACCCATTTGGGAAGGACAAGAAGAATTGGAACAAGACAAACAATGAAGCAAGTTAAAAGGGAAAATGTAGCAATGGCGGAGGACAGGAGGAAGCGGGGAGAAGATGCAGACTCCCCCCCCCCCCCCCCCCCCCCCTCCCCCTCCTTTTTGGAAATATATATTTATAATATTTTTTTGGTAATTTATGCATTTAATAAATTATTCATTCTAATTTTTTCGAAAAAGAATATAAAACTATCTTATGAATTTTTAAATAATTTAATAAAATTTTTAAATATTTTTTTATACATTATATATTAAATTATTAATTAATTTAATTTTAAATAACAATATGTCTAATTAAGTAATTTTACAAAATATAATTTTTTAAAATATAATTATCGAATACTAAAATGTTTTTTATAGTAATACAACATAATATCTTTAAAAGTGAGTAAATGTGCAAATAAAGATTCCAACTTTATACTTTTTTCTATTTAAGGATGTTAACTTTATCGTTTTCTAAATAAGGATGTCAGCTTTCAATTTTTTTCTAAATAAGGATGTTAACTTTCAATTTTTTTCTAAATAAGGATGTTAATTTTGTCAGTTTCTAAATAAGAATGCCAACTTTCAACATTTTCTATTTAAGGATGTCAACTTTCAACTTTTTTTATTTAAGGATTAATTGAATAGTGATGCTGACGTGGCTAACATATTTTTTTAGGTTAAATATTTGAATTGGTCCCTTGACTTTTATT